GAGAAACTGCATTGAGAAGTACAGGGTTACTTGAATTGTATTCCAGAATTTGCTTGCTTGTTTTCAGCTGACAGAGCTTGAAATAATTTTAGACTTCACATAAAGTACCAGAAATCTTTCAATAAGGTCTTCATGTTATATAGTTTGAATACCATGTCATATGTATATTATTGTAAAAAAATTTATTCCATGCTTCTCTCCCCCCCCGAAAAACACAGAAAAAGCTTTGAAAAAAAAAACATAGAAAAAAAACATTTTTTCCCCAATTTTTCCATTTTTTTGGGGCCTTCTCATCTTTAGCCAAGACAAAATATCCTTATTCCTGACTAACCAAGCCAAAATTTAACAGCAGTCTTTATAATTCTGCACTAATCCACAGTCATTTGGGACCAGTGATCTATAGGGTGGAGGATAGATTAATATATTTTATTTATGTACTTTATAATGTTATCAAGTTTTGAAGTGAGACTAAGGGGGAGGGGCAATGTTGTATACCCTGCGGAAGTCAGGGAACCAGTGACGCAATGCGTCTGGCGGAGCCTAGTGATGTCACTTCCGGTATCGCGCAAACCAGAATGTGCATTGAGAGGAACCATTTTTGACATTGGATTGTTATGCCTTTTATCTATACACTTTTGTGAGTGAATTTTATTACTTTAATAAGCTGAAATTTATACGAGGTTGCACAATGAATTGTCCTTTCTTCCCTTGAGCATATACCATCTTAGTGGGAACTCTGGAGTCTGGTCTCTTAACCCCTTGACGCCGACCACACAAATTAGTGGCCTCACAGAACTGGGCTTTTTTCTGTGGGGGGCCGCTAATTTGTGTACCTGTATTTCTGCTGAAAGCGCACCGCTCTAAAGATCGGGGCCCAAAACTCCCAATTCGGAGTCACCTGATCGCTGTGATAGCCTGTGATAGCCTCTGATAGGCTGTCACAGTGATCAGTCACTGTGAAGCCTGCCCCCCTTGTTTTCTCTCTCTGAATGGAGGAGAGAGATACATTGTATCTCTCTGTCCTTTCAGAGAGAAAAAAAAAAAGTGTGTGTAAAATAAATAAATGAATAAATAAAAATATTAACAAAATAAACAAAAATACCAAGATCAAGGTTTGATCTAGGTCTGTGCCAGGGTTAGTGTTTTGGTCAAGGTCCGGGTCAAAGGTCAGAGTCAGGTTTTTTGGGGTCAGTTTTTTTTTAATTTTTAAATTAGTATCAGTTAGTGGCAGAATAATAAAAAAAAGCAAATTGCGCACTATGGTTTCTGGGCTGTACTATGGGTTCAAACAACAACTAAAATAGACACGTGGTCTTTTTGCGATCGTAAGGAGCAGGAGACATTATTTTGGGTTGTTCTTTGGTGGTAGGTTATGGTAGTAGAAAGAAAAATATACAGCTAAATTAAAAAAAGTTGTTTTTTTTACTATTTTGGGACAGTTTTCCTTTGGTAATAAAAAAAAACCAAAACAATCAGGAGATATCCATTACCATTTTCCACTAAATGAAAGCCAATTTGTCCTGAAAAAACCAAGGTATAATCCAACTGGATGCACAAAGTAGTAGTAGATCATATGTACGGTTTTGCTAACACTTGTCAAAGTTGCAAAATTGTGTATAGGCGTTAAGATTTGTTTTACCCTTAGGCGTGAAGTGGTTAAAGGACCAGTACCAAGGAAATAGTTTTAAAGGATAGCAGTGGATGAGCAGAAATTGATCAATGGTTAAAGTGTTCGTGTTTTCTATATAGGTCAAACAAGAAGGTGAGTGCATGGTACATGTATTGGTGACGGGAAGCACTACAGATTACTGCACACGTTGGACAATGTGAATACTGAATCACTTTTGTGGAGTACGTTGTATTTGTGTTCAATGTGAGTGCATATGTTTAGTTCACTTAGTGTTTAGTTTATTTAAACGGCGTTGCACTACGGAATATATTTTGTTTTTTATGCACGGTTTGGAGCCAAAATTGAGTGAAGATTTATTTGGATCTATCTATCTATCTATCACATGTATCTATCACAATATGAAGAATATACGTACTTTCCAACAAAACACATTTGACCTATTATAATATGTAGGTTTGAACTTTAAGATGCGCAGGGAGTGTGCCCTTTATACAAGCCACGTTTTGGAAAGTGGATGACAGCACATTATTAGGACATTTTGAATTTGGGATTGGACTATCACTTTTTTACAGTTGATTTTTTGTGGACTGATACATATTGTTCACTTAAGTTTTATTTTCTTTTGAAGAAGTTAGCGCACTATATTTAATTTTAGTAAAATAATGTTGTATACTTGTTGCATTCTGTATATTGCTATTTTAAGAAAATGTTATAACATTTTTGCTGTAAGAGTTTTAAAAGATAGCAGGAAAAGCTGGAGGTGGAAGTTTGTGTGAACAATAAAGATGATGACCTGTTAACACTGTGTCTGCACTGCAGAGACACAACAAGGACCCAGGAGATTAAACTTTTCAAGTGCCAGTAAGAATCACAGAACAAAAGAGGTACACTAAATTAGTACCAACCTTGACTTTGTTTTCTACCAGTGTCCTAAAGGACACAAAAAAATTAGCTTCTTTTCTTTTTTTTGGTTAAAGCAAAGAGGCACGTTTCCCATGACTACTGTGCTTCATTGCTTCACAAGTTCCATAAAGATATTACTGCGTGAAGGAAAACATCATAAAATATGTCCCCTTTGGCTAGTTACACACGTACAATGCGTCACAGCTGCTGTACAAATATACAGATGTATTAAACAGGGCCCTCACAAGAGGAGCACAAAACAGCTAAAAACATTAGGCAATTCTATCATACAATAAATTCACAATTATGACTATCTGTCAGGGCTCCCAGGTATGACCAGAAGTGTGTGACTGATGCAGGGAAACGCAGACTTCAGATATGTGATAAACAATACAATTTATTAACACTAACCATACAAACATAAACGCAGTGCAATACTAAACATAATACAGTGCAAACAAACCAAACCAAACCACCCACAGATAACAGTACATACAAGCAAGCGTCGTCAGGCAGGCCCGGTCAATATCAATTGGGCAGGTAGGTACAGGGGGAGCAAGCAGAGAATGGTCGGGGTCACAGGCCAGGTTCAGCAGGTAGCAAGCAGCGTAGTACAGAGGGTCAGGCAGAGGGATGGTCAGGGTCACAAGCCAGAGATCAAAACAGGTAACAAGCAGCGTAGTACAGAGGGTCAGGCAGAGGGACAGAAACAGGATGCAGGACAGATACAGGGCCCAGGACAAACACAACACCAAGGCAGAGTCTGTGGGTCTGGCCATCCCTTAAATACCCCAGCATCATCAGTTCCAGGTGTTAGCTGGCTGAAAGGTTGAGTCTCTGATTGCTGGGAGCACCCGCTGGCCAGCCCTGGTACTGCAGATCAAAAGGCAGGTGAGTCCCACCATTGCTGGCCAGTCCATTCCTAAACAGTACCCCTCCCCCAAGGAGCGGCCTCAGGACGCTCCAAACAGTCCTAGCTGGGCAAAATGTTCCACCGCCCGGGTCTGGTAACTGGCGGGATATCAAAGACTGGCACACCGGGCAGGACTCCAGGCAGCGGCACACCGGGCTGGACTCCGGGCAGAGGCACACCGGGCTGGACTCCGGGCAGAGGCACACCGGGCTGGACTCCGGGCAGAGGCACACCGGGCTGGACTCCGGGCAGAGGCACACCGGGCAGAGGCACATCGGGCAGAGGCACATCGGGCAGAGGCACATCGGGCAGAGGCACATCGGGCAGGACTCCGGGCAGAGGCACATCGAGCAGAGGCACACCGGCAGAGGCACACCGGGCAGAGGCACATCAGGCAGAGGCACATCGGGCAGGACTCCGGGCAGAGGCACATCGGGGAGAGGCACATCGGGCAGGACTCCGGGCAGAGGCACATCGGGCAGGACTCCGGGCAGAGGCACATCGGGCAGGACTCCGGGCAGAGGCACATCGGGCAGGACTCCGGGCAGAGGCACATCGGGCAGGACTCCGGGCAGAGGCACATCGGGCAGGACTCCGGGCAGAGGCACATCGGATTACCAGGCGAAGCAGCAGGCAGCGGGCCACCAGGCGGAGCAGCAGGCACCGGGCCCCCGGGCGGAGCAGCAGGGCACCGGGCCCCCGGGCGGAGCAGCAGGCACCGGGCCCCCGGGCGGAGCAGCAGGCACCGGGCCCCCGGGCGGAGCAGCAGGCACCGGGCCCCCGGGCGGGCAGCAGGCACCGGGCCCCCGGGCGGAGCAGCAGGCGTCGGGCCCCCAAGCGGGGCGACCGGCGTCGGGCCCCCAGGCGGGGCGGCGGGCGCCGGGCCCCCAGGAGGGGCGACAGGCATCGGGCCCCCAGGCGGGGCGACAGGCATCGGGCCCCCAGGCGGGGCGACAGGCATCGGGCCCCCAGGCGGGGCGACAGGCATCGGGCCCCCAGGCGGGGCGACAGGCATCGTGCCCCCAGGCGGGGCGACAGGCATCGTGCCCCCAGGCGGGGCGACAGGCATCGTGCCCCCAGGCGGGGCGACAGGCATCGTGCCCCCAGGCGGAGCGGCGGGCGCCGGACCCCCAGGCGGAGCGACAGGTCTCGGGCCCTCAGGCGGAGCGGCGGGCGCCGGACCCCCAGATGGAGCGACAGGTCTCGGGCCCTCAGGCGGAGCGGCGGGCGCCGGACCCCCAGGCGGAGCGACACAGGTCTCGGGCCCTCAGGCGGAGCGGCGGGCGCCGGACCCCCAGGAGGAGCGACAGGTCTCTCGGGCCCTCAGGCGGAGCGGCGGGCGCCGGACCCCCAGATGGAGCGACAGGTCTCGGGCCCTCAGGCGGAGCGGCGGGCGCCGGACCCCCAGGTGGAGCGACAGGTCTCGGGCCCTCAGGCGGAGCGGCGGGCGCCGGACCCCCAGGCGGAGCGACAGGTCTCGGCCCCCTCAAGCGGAGCGGCTCAGGGCGCCGGACCCCCAGGCGGAGCGACAGGTCTCGGACCCTCAGGCGGAGTGGCGGGCGCCGGACCCCCAGGCGGAACGACAGGTCTCAGGCCCCCAGGCGGGGCGGCGGGCACCGAGTCACCAGGCACAACCGCGGGCTCCGAGTCAACTGGGATGACCGCTGGCACTGGGTCAGACATTGGATCGTCTGGCTGGACAGCGGGCATCGGGTCACCAGGCATCAGGTCATTTGGCTCGACAGCGGGCACCGCGTCATCTGGCAAGGCAGTGGGCTCCGAGTCAACTGGTATGATCGCGGGCACTGGGTCAGACATTGGATCGTCTGGCTGGACAGCGGGCACTGGGTCACCAGGCATAAGGTCATTTGGCTCGACAGCGGGCACCGCGTCATCTGGCAAGGCAGTGGGCTCCGAGTCAACAGGCACGACAGTGAGCACCGGGTCATCAGGTACCGGATTGTCTGGCTCGACAGCGGGCATCGGGTCACCAGGTATGACAGCGGGCACTGGGTCACCAGGCATCAGGTCATTTGGCTCGACAGCGGGCACCGGATCAGGTACCGGATCATCTGGATCAACAGCGGGCATCGAGTCAACTGGCCTAATAGGATCGTCAGGCTGGATCAGTTCATCATGCTGGGTAGAGGCATCAGGCTGAATGCCGGCGTCCGGCTGAGTAGAGGCTTCAGGCCGAGTAGAGGCTTCAGGCCGAGTAGAGGCTTCAGGCCGAGTAGAGGCTTCAGGCCGAGTAGAGGCTTCAGGCCGAGTAGAGGCTTCAGGCCGAGTAGTAGGCATCAGGCCGAGTAGAGGCATCAGGCTGAGTCACGGAAGGCAGGCTCACCGGTTTGGATACTGGCAGGATGGTATTGGTTGGAAAGAATTTTCGCTTTTTTCTGGTTTTAACTACTGGAGCACTGCAAGTAAACGCAGGTCTGCAAACGAATGGAGCAGCTGGAGACAGAGAAGAACTGGAGGATGGAACAGGAGAGGGAGCGGTTGCTACAGAGGGCTCTTTTACAGGGTTAAAGGCAGGATAGGTGCAGCGAGTGGGAACAGGGTACTGACATGCGGTAGATAGCAGGGCAGGAGGAGCTGTTGGGAATGCAGGAATAGAGCTTTGAGGAAATAGATTAGAAGCAGGACTGGGTCTTTGTAAGCTGACTGAGGCTGGGTGCAACAAGTCTGTCCATGTCTGCAGTATGGGTTGAACAAAGCTGAGCTTACACAAAGCCTGTCTGGTCAATGACTGCACTGCGTTTATACAATCTTAGTGTCTGTGGTGAACATGTGGAATAACGCTCCAGAAAGTAACCCACATCATCCTCTAATAACCACACCAGGGACTCTACCTGGTCTGCACTAAATGGTGGCAAAAATTCATCCCTGCATTCGGGGGAACCAGATGAAACCAACTCAGCACAAACCTCAATCAAAGGCTGCACCTCAGAGAACTCTGTGCCCTGATCTACTAGATCATGAGCGAGCCGTATACATTCTAGCAGTTCATCCCGGGTATACTCCTTCAGAGTTTGATAAGCATACTCCCTGTCATCAAACACTAGCAGATATAAATATTCAACCTCATCAAGATCCATCCTTCCCATCAACAAGCCAAGATGGCTTCCCTGTGCAGCCACTTCTGGTCAGGATTGGCCTTGGTGTAATGTCAGGGCTCCCAGGTATGACCAGAGGTGTGTGACTGATGCAGGGAAACGCAGACTTCAGATATGTGATAAACAATACAATTTATTAACACTAACCATACAAACATAAACGCAGTGCAATACTAAACATAATACAGTGCAAACAAACCAAACCAAACCACCCACAGATAACAGTACATACAAGCAAGCGTCGTCAGGCAGGCCGGGTCAATATCAATTGGGCAGGTAGGTACAGGGGGAGCAAGCAGAGAATGGTCGGGGTCACAGGCCAGGTTCAGCAGGTAGCAAGCAGCGTAGTACAGAGGGTCAGGCAGAGGGATGGTCAGGGTCACAAGCCAGAGATCAAAACAGGTAACAAGCAGCGTAGTACAGAGGGTCAGGCAGAGGGACAGAAACAGGATGCAGGACAGATACAGGGCCCAGGACAAACACAACACCAAGGCAGAGTCTGTGGGTCTGGCCATCCCTTAAATACCCCAGCATCATCAGTTCCAGGTGTTAGCTGGCTGAAAGGTTGAGTCTCTGATTGCTGGGAGCACCCGCTGGCCAGCCCTGGTACTGCAGATCAAAAGGCAGGTGAGTCCCACCATTGCTGGCCAGTCCATTCCTAACACTATCCTGTACTGAGAGCGAAGGGATCACCAAGCATGTAAGGGATCTGAACATGAAGGGTTAATTTATTAAACCCAACATTTCCTAGTACTGATATGTACCTGCTGTACCATGTACTTGTTTGGAAAAGTATCCTGTTCTTTTTGTATTTCTTCCTTTGTGTGAAACCCCTGGTGTTCCTACCAATCTCTCTGCTTTCCTATTAAAAACTGACCTCACTAAAGATAAAAAGAACAGTGGTCAGTTCTCTAGCTATGCTGAAAACTCAGCCTGCTTTCCTCCAATGATCACACTTGTCCTGGCACCCGTGCACAGCCATTCACTGGGAAGATGAGTGTCCTGCTGTTTCTCCTCCCCCAGCTTTTAGGCAGCTGAGAACAAAGAGAATGTGATCACTCAAAGGGAAATAAAGGATTTATAATGATTTTTTTTTTATATCTAAACACAAATTGCTTTTCATTTCTGACTTAAACTGGATGGGTTGTTTTACAAGGTGATGGTTTGCATGTCCTTTAAGAAGAGCAGTGCCTGCTCAGCAATTATGGAAAGATTCTGGCCTCTGTGTCCTGGGATTGGTACCTGTGAAGAAAGAGGGAGAGCAGCTAGCTCAGTCAGTTCCAAAAGTTAAAGTGGATCTAAACTGTCTCTGAGCACCACAAACTGAAAATGTTATTTAATTAGTTTTTAATAGGCAGAAGCAAACTCATCCATCCATCCATGTCTCCGTGTTTTTATTTTGTTGAGAAGTCACTTCCACCCCCCTTGTGTAGCATTTAGTTCCTAGCACCCATCTACCCTTAAAGAGGAATTTTGGCCTGTGCCCCCCCCCCCAAAAAAAAATTAAAAGTCAGCAGCTACAGATACTATAGCTGCTGTCTTTTAATATTAACTTACCTGTCCAGGAATCCAGTGGTGTCCTCACCCTGGGCCGATTCTTCAATCAGCTGTTGGGTGCTGGCGCCGCCATCTTGATTAAGGGAAACTGGCAGTGAAGCCATGCCAGAGGGCTGCAGGGGGCTGAAATGTAAAAACCAGATACCCACTCCCCCCTCCTCCCCACAATGTGCCAAATGGAGGCAGAAAAGGTGGAACTCTGCTTTAAGCACAGATATGTAGGGAGGAAAGTGTGTTTAGCTGAGAATTCCCCTCCTCCTCTTCTCTTGTTGAAGGAAAAACAATGCCTAGGAAGACTCATGGGTTGTATGAAATATAGAAATCATAGAAAAGTGACGGCAGAAAAAAGACCAATTGGTCCATCCAGTCTGTTTTTTTTTGTATTCTTTTTCTTTAACTTTTTCTCTGAGTATAGATCTATGTTTGTTCCAAGCATGTTTGAAACCACTTGTTGACCAACTCACTACCTCTGCTGGACATCTATTTCAAGCATCAACTACCTTTTCAGTAAAATAATACTTTCTAAGATTAGTTTTGAACTTACTCCAGTTAGTTTGAGGTCATGTCCGCGTGTTCATCATTTTGGTTTCATATTAAAAATACTGCCCTCTTGAACCTTATTCACCCCCTTGATGTATTTAAAAGTTTCAATCATGTCTTCCATTTCCCTACTTTCCTTCAGGCTGTACAAACTAGGTTCCTGAAGTCACTCTTGATATGTTTTATCCATCAGACCTTTCACTATTTTTTTTTTTACCAGTGAGGTCTCAACTGGACACAGTATTCTAAATGAGGTCTCACTAAAGATCTATTTAGGGGAATCAGGACCTCCTTCCTCCTACTGGCGATCCCACTGACGCATCCTAGAATTCTATTCGCTTTTCCCACTGCCTGGTCACACTGTTTGCTCATTTTGCACTCATCTGAAATAAGTACCCCCAAACTTTTTCCTTTGTAGTGCTGGCCAACATTATACACCATGTTGTACCTTCTGAAGGGATTTTTTTTCCCTAGGTGCATTATTTTACATTTAGAAACATTGAACTGAAGTTTCCACTGCTTTAACTAATCTTCCAGCAAATTATGATCCATGTTACAGATAGCTCCAGGGATATCAACCCTATTGTACACCTTTGTGCCATCAGCAAAAACACATACCTTGGACATCAAACCTTTAGTTATATCACTTACATATAGATTAAATAGAACAAGACCTAGTACAGAGTCTTGGGGTACACCACTAGTGACTGGTCTCTGTTCCAAATGAACCCCATTTACAACCGCACTCTGGTATCTATCCTTCAGGCAGCTGCATATCCACTGAACCACCCAAGGGTTAAGTCCTAGCTTGTACAACTTTTGTATTAGATCATTATGTGGAACTGTATCAAATGCCTTGCTGAAATCGAGATATGCTATGTTTAACCGATGTTAAACTCACTTACCTGTAATTGGCAGCTTCCATCTTAACTCCCTTCTTATGGACAGGTACAATATTAGTTGTCTGCCAGTCATGGGCAACTTCTCCTATTAGAAGAGATTGATTAAAAAGATCAGTTAATGATCCAAAAACTGTACCTCGAAGTTATCTTAGAACTCTGGAAAATATGATATCAGGATCCATTGCTTTATGAAGCTTTAAATAAGCCAGTTCCTCTGCTACCTTTGTCTCCAGGAATCCTAAAACCGAACCCATCATTACAAGAACCAGTATGATTCCCCAATTTGTTATTGCTAGTACAATTTGTTTCTGAAAAGACAGAAAAGTATGACATCATTTTGGCCTAGGCCAGAAACCAGCTGAAGAGATGTTTAAAAAAAGGTTAAAACAAGAAGATATAATATACCTTCCTGTCTAATAACTAAGGTTAGCAGCATAAGGATTAAAAATAGTTCATGTTGATTGAGAGAGTTAAGCTCTGATTTAAAAATGATCTCCAGGGAAAGGAAAACAATCTTCCTTGTAGTAGCTCCCTCCAAGCTTTAAGACCAGTTCTTGTAGCCTATTCTCCCCTATGCTTTAGAGACCGCATGCCCTCTGATGTCATTAAGTCTGAGCAGAGGGCAGTGACTGACAGTCACCACTGTCTGCTCTGCCCCCCCCCCCTCTGGGCTGTAGAGCGGGGAGGAAGCGGTTGGCTCAGGCTCTCAACGGCTAGCTCCAGGTATCGCTCCAGACTCTGGGGTGGATCCCTGCTTTTAAAGTCAGGATCTTTCCCTAGCCTGGACTGGCCGAGCGACGTCAGCTGACAGTGAGCTTCAGCCCGCTGTCAGCTGACAATGGGTCACAGGAGTGCAGAACAAAAGAGCTGTACTTCTATTTTTAACCCTAATACGCCTAAAACACCTGTTTTTAAAAGAGAAGTTTGGTATTGTAAAAAACAAACCATACACAACAACATTTATACTCACCTAGGAGGATGCAGCATCGGTCCAATGCTGCATCTGTCTCCCGCTACCTCTGAGACTGAGAACTAAGCGATCAAAGACCACTGATAGCTCAATTCTTGGTCTTCAGTGAACAGATAGCCGGTCACTGTCAGTCACAGGCTCTCTGTTCTGCCCATACAGTGTTGTGGGCTGTGCAGGGGGTGAAAGTGTCTTGCTCAGGCTCTCTCAGTGGCT